GGATTCTCCTTTCAGCACTTTTAGAGAAGACCTTCATGTACAACTCTAGGCCTTCCAAAATTTTGATGATATTTCCTAGGATTTCTTCGTAAAACTCAATTTCTCCCCTCTTAACTTTGTTTATCCTTTCCAATTTTGCTGTGGGGATCTTTTAAGATTATTGAGGCAGATCTAACATCTCCACATCTATAAGATACCATGTTTGACTTTGCTCTACAGGTAATGGAATGTATGAATCGATATCCGGGTAAGCGGTCTCTTGGCAACCCGTGTCGGCAGTTGCAAATTTTTCAAATGAGCTATAGCGGTCTAAGTGTAGAACATTGCACGACAACCGCTCCACGAATGCCCTTCTTGATGAATGAGCAAGAACTTTGATGTTTTACATTGGGAAACCCTCGTAAAATTCAATCGGTACTTCAGATTGCATTTGCTCTGCAGGAAATTCAGACTCGTCTTCTGTAGCAGGCGGAGTGGCAGAAATTTCCCTCATACAAGAATCGTAGAATTTCCCCTCAAGATTCAAGGTAAGTAAATTCTTTGCTTCTTTCAGATGTCTTCTTTCTTAATGTATAAAAGCTCTGTGTCTGCGATATTAGTGTTTCGATACTGCGTTCTCCTTAACGGTGCATCTGGCAGTCTCTCATTGTCGGTTCTGACTAAGTTTCCTGTTGGTGTGGTTATTGATCCGGATTTTTTTATATGTAAGGATTTATGAAGTTAACACAATTACAATGCTAAAAACTTGATCCTTATATGAAAAGTAAGTTGTGTAAAATATAGACATTTAATAATGAGATTCTACGCAAGTATATGTATCATTATTAAATAATAAATGACTTTCTATTTAAGCCCCAAATATCGATCTCACAGGGAGGGTGTAAATCGACAAATATAAGTTTTACCAGGAAATTCATAGAAAATCAAACAAAATCACTATCACTAATTTTCAATGTTGAGATGTTATCAAAACTAAAGAACTTAACTATTAGCAAAATAGAAATGCAAAGTTTAAAAACTAAATACTAATGTACTAATTATATTTATGTAATGAAAATTTCTTATGTGAAAAAGCATCATTTCCACTACAATGAGGTTTCAGTGAAATGAGATGAGATAAATGTTTATAATATCTATTGTGCAAAATAGGTGCAATTATAATTCTCTACCCTAATACAATGCATAGAAAATCATTCGCTAATCCTAGGTTTAGTCCCTAAATTCATGGCTAGGGGAGGAGGATACCGACTCCCACTTCAGAGCTCGCACTTCCTTTCAACTGAAGGCCAGCTCTAACTTTAATTTTTAAACACTAAGATCAAATTAGGGATTTTAGTCTGTCACCCTAAAGATTCTCCAAATCTACAGACAACAAAGAATATTTCTCTATTTATTTGGACTTAATTTCATGAACTAATTTCTCCTTCATGAGATCAAATTTGATCCTCACTCTGTTGTAGAACTCATCCTCCATTTCCCGGATTATATGTTTCACAACATATTTTATCAATTCAATTAGCCCAATCAAAATGTAAATTAAGTTTAAAGTTGAAAAATCATCACAATTTATTTTTATATTTTAATATTGGCACATCATATTATCTCTTCATTTCACCATATCTCAAAGTAGGGAGAAAAATAGAGTAAAGTACTCAGACTTCATGAGAAAAACACAACAAAAGACAAATTTCATATATAAAAGAAAGTTCATACAACACTAATAAACAAGCAAAACTTACATGAAACTCTTTCTCAAAGAAAATCCCTTGTAGCCTTTCCTTAAAAATGCAGGAAGAAGATATCTCTCACTTTTCTCCTTCTCCAACACTCTCATAGAAAGTTTCACACTAAATCTCACCACACAAACTCTAAACTATGAAAGAAAAATCACTAATGAACTCCAACATGGTGGTGGAATGAAGATGGATTATGAAGAATGGTGAAAATGGAGCGTGCTGGAATGTTGTGGAGTGAAAAAGAGTCCATTTCCTAATGAATTTCGGCCTCAAATAAAGCCCAAGGTCGG